CTGGAACAGATGAATAGACAAAATATTGTACATACATACAATAGAATATTACTCATCCAGTGGAAGAAACTAAATCATGATGCATACTACAATAATGGAGGAAGCTTGAAGACATTATGCTGTGTGGAATAAAAAAGTTACAGAAAGACAAATATTGTGTGACCTCACTGATATAAAAACACAAGAAAATGCAAATGGATGGAGACTGAAGTTTATTAGTGGTTACCAGACAGGGCTGAGAGGGAGGAGGAAAGGGGAATAACTGTGATAGAGGAGTCCTGGTATGGACTGTAGGATAAGCACTGGAATGTTAACCACAAGATTAGTGGTTCAAACCTCCAGCTGCTCCTCAGAAACCCTATACAAGGCCACAATGAGCCAGAATCTACTCAACAGCACTTAAGGAACTGTAATGAAGGGTAGAGTTGTACTGCAGAATGTTGCAATCACTGTCAATAAGTTGAACTCCTGTAAAAAGATGAACTATCATCACTTCTTATGGATGCATGGTATTTCAGTATATGGTTTTTTCCTAATTTATTTAGCCCATTTGGGATTATTTTTTTTTTTTACTTTTATTACCAATGCTGCTGTGTATACTTTTCTCATCCTTGCCTTATTCTTTCTTGAAAATTTTCATTTCAGGTAAATTTGGGATCAAAATACATGTCCATTCTTAAGGATCTTGATTTTATTTTCAGTTGCTTTCCAGAAAACAATTTACATTCTTACCAGCATTGTACAAGAATATTCCCTATAACCTTACCAACTCTTACTGGAGTATATATTTGTTTTTACAATTTAATACTCATAAATGGTACCTCACTTTCTTAATTTATATTACTGAGATTTCAAGTGACACTGGACATCATTTCATATGTTGTCCTGTTTGTTTCTTTCATTGTTCATTGGAGAGCTCATTTTGTTCTAATTTGTGTGGAAGAGCTTTTGGTATATTGCTATATGTATGAGTGTTAAAAATAGAATTCCCATTAAATCATTTTTTATGGTTCTGATTTACTATCTATTTACTGATGTATGTGGTCAAATTTATCAATATTTTCTTGTTTTTAACTTATGTAATTGTTAGAAAAGTTTCTGCCACCACTAGATTATATGAATATATATATATCCCTTAATGTAATAGTGAGATTAGAATTAAAATGAGACAAATATTGTATCAAATTATAGTGGTCATGTACCATCAAGTTGGTTCCAACTCATAGAAACCCTGTATAGGGTTTCTGATGAGCAGTTGGTGGCTTTGAACCGAATGCTGATCTTGTGGTTCGCAGCCCAGTGCTGATCCTACAGCGCTACATTAGGAGTTATCAATATATCTATGAGCTAAAATAATGATAGTCACAACAATATTGGAGAGCAAGCTTTTGTTTGCCTGTTGTTGTTATTATGTGCCGTGGAGTTGGTTCCGACTCATAGCAATCCTGTACAGGGTTTCTGAGGCTGTAAATCTCTACAGGAGCAGAAAGCCTCATCTTTCTCCCACAGAACAGCTGGTAGTTTCAAGCTGCTGACTGTGAGATGAGCAGCCCAATTTGTAACCACTACACTACCAGAGCCTGTTATATACATAAATCTTTATTACCTTTGAGATTTATTTTGGCTTTATGTGTAAGGTTGAATGAATTACTTACCAGTTAATTCCAAATCATCACTTAGATAGATAACCATTCTTTAAAAATACTTGTGAAGAAAAATTTTTCTCCTCAACTGTGTATATGTCTGAAATAAAGGTATATAGAGATTAGAAGATTGATATTTGGTGTGTGATTATGTGGATTAAGGAAGTTTTATGTGTCTCTTTGTTCATTTGCTAAAGTTGGGAAGTGGAACTGAAAATATACCAAAGTGGAATAAAGTAAAAGAAAACTAAACAAAAACTCTAAGATTAAAGTACTTTTATCTAGACCATAAGGAAGCCTAGCAAGAAAGGTTTTCATGCATGAGGAGTTAGTGTTCATATTACACGAACTACCACTCAGAAATATCAAACATAACTTCATTTTCTAACCTGACCTCATCTTGTTTTAGAGTCCTCATTCCTCTAATAATGGAAAACACTTGGTCTTTTCCATTTAAAATTTAGAGCTGTTTTGTTCCCCTTCCCACTTCTCTTTGTTTCCTCAGTGGGTGTAATTATGGAACAGATTAATAACATGGTGAAGAAGAAAGGGAACTTTGGTCTCATGCAGTCACTTGAAACCTCACAAGAGTCATTACTGAAATAAATGTCTGTGGCTAATAAATGTCTGTGACCAGTTCACTCACCATAGTCAGCTTCCAGTAGTTTTCCTTTGATGACTTATCCTTTATCTCAGCTCTCTATCCCCATACTTCTCTACATTGTGAATTTAATCTCTTCTTTGGTGAATTTCCTTGCATATTCCAATCCTCCGTTTTCTTGTATGTTCTCTGCAATGAGGCAACTGAGGAATTCTGGATTCTCCATAAGTCTCATTCAAGCTTATATAGAGGAGGCTGTAGATGCTATGTCAGGACCAAAGCCCAGGCACCACACTTTGACACTGTTGCTCTACTACTCAGGGAATGTGAGAAATTAAGGGTGACACTCATCACAGATCAAACAGTCATGCTCAAGGATGTGAGAAATAAGACTTCCACTCTGGTAGTTCTTCCTCAAATCGATCTAAGTCTCTCTACCAGAGCTCTACCTTAATCTCTTTGGAGAATGTGGGAAAGCAGAAATTGAAACTAATCTCATGCCCTTCATTCTGTCTATCTGTGTCCTCACTTCCCTTCCCAATCCAATGTAAGTTTTACCCTGATTTTTTGTGGAAAGATGGATGTGTATGGGGGAAAGTATGGTAGATTCTTTTATAGCAAACTTTCTCTCTCAATATTTAAGGAGCTCTGGTAGCATAGTGGCTACAAGTAGGGCTGCTAGCCTCAAGGTCAGCAGTTTGAAACTACCAGCCATTTCACTGGAGAAAGATAAGACTTTCTGCTCCCATAAAGATTTACAGCATCAGAAACCCTATGTAAGGTCGCTATGAGTAGGACCTGACTCCATGGCACGCCACCACCATCTCAATATTTATAAAGTTTCATGTTCTCTAGAAGCAGACCCCAAGATAGAAATTATTTAAATAACTTATTACAAATTTCCCTCATTAGAGGCAGAATAAAGGAAATGAGTGGTCAGGGTGGAAACATTAACAAAAACAGCCCCAACTGGAGAATAGCTTTAGTCAAATTCCATGGAAAAGTGCTGAAGCACAAATTACATCATAAACTTTGCCCCATGTAGGTACAAGAGAGCTGATTTTTGCATCATCATGACAGCCACTCATTGGCAAAGATTATATGCTCATGTAAGGAGCACAGCATCCAGCAAGGCTGTTCCCATTTTGCAGAGAGCAAAATCTCTAGAAAATAAGAAAGCTGTGGGTTATCATAAGCCAGTACTCACTGCAGCTGGGTGGTGTGTGTGCTGGCCAGAAAAGAGACACTAAGACAAAATCAAACCAAAATAATCCACTACATAAAGTATAATTCAAAACTGTGATGCTGAGAATGCCTGTATTTGCTATTAAAACTCTCCTCTTGCTCAACAAAGCCAAGTTTTGTCTAGCCCCTGATTCAATACTTTAAAAAGTTAAAATTTTTAAAGTCTACTTTAAAAAACTAAAGCTAAGCTCTCTTTTTGCTATATTGAGTTATACTGTCACCATGATACAATGGCTGAGAGAGCTCATGTACAACTAGAAATAAAAATGTTTTTCCTAGCTCAAAATACCCATGTGATGTTGGCTTGTCCAATATGCTTGGGTATTTGTAAAAAAAAAAAAAAAAAGTCTTCATGTGTTTCTTCTTCTGTAAAATCCCAATAATCCCAATGTAGTGTTCTATAGAAAATATTAAATTCTCAGAAACAAAGAGATGGTATACCAATCCACTCAAATAGAAGAGTGAGTGTTTTATTGTAAGAATTTCATGTGGTATAATAAAGGAGAAAAATGCTCATGGAAATCAAGGGACCGGCATTGTGGTATGCTTAAGGAGAAAAAGAATATCTGAAGGATTCTGTTTCCACAGAAGCTTCACAGCTATCTTCACCACTAATGCTACTCAGTTTCTTACTGTCTATTTGTTTCACTACTATTACTTTTCTGCTGTCTCTCTCACAGCTCTGTTTACTCATTACTTCATCTTTATATGCGGCACTTTGTTACCTTAATACTGCCTCAGGGTATCTCTATACATTGGATTATCTTCAACTACCATGCCAGTTGTCTCATTACTAGCATTTCCCTCCTCACTCTTATGAGAAGAAACTGACTGGATAGCCTTGATCAAGGTGTCCATTCCCAATCCAATTACCTAGTTTAATCAAGTATCTAAGGCTACCTGACTAGCTGGGGCCATATTCCACCTACATCAAATTATCCCTGAAATCCTAGTGTCTACAAACTGAAATATCCTTAAAATGTTCCTTGAGACCTCATATCTGTCTGTCCAGTTTTTTTTCTAGTCTAAGATTTCCAGAAAATCTAGCCAAAAGCTCTGTTAGAAGAAGACTTCATTCATGTTGCCAGAAAATTTCTGGACTAATCCACTTCTGTAACCAGAATCCATGGGCAAAGAGAGAGTGGCAGGAGGTTTCAAGGTTAATTCAAATAAGAGAATCCAAACTCAGAGGATATGGTATAGGTGACTATAGAGTATGGTCACAGAAGTCTCACTATAGGTTTGGGACCCAAGTCTTTACAACTTTATATAGGAGATAACAAACAACCAATTCTGAGACCAGCCTTATTCAAGGTAGCATAATCATTAGGAAAACAAAATCATCTGCTAGATGTGAGCACAAGAAGTTTGCAAATATCTAGTCTAGTGCTCCACCATTAATGAGATTCAGCTCTCTCCACGGTTCTCCTTATGATGGACTCAGTGGTCACTACTTACTGGCTGTCTCACACAATACCAATGGCAAGAAGAGGACCAGCAACTACAGATTACTAGTTCCCCTGAGGGAGGTTGCAATAGCTACTATGTGTGCAACAGATGATCTGTGTTCTCTGGTCATGATCCAAGAAGTTGATGTCTTCACAGTTGTACATACATGACAGCTTGGAATAAAAATATAAACTGTACCCTGAGGAGGTAAAGGAGAGGAGGGACATGTATGTAATGACTTTCCTCCCTCCTACAATTTTCCTAGCAATAACCTCACCTCAGATTCTTATTAACCATTCTCTAAACCCAGGTGAAGCTATAAGGCTGAGTCTACAATTGGTTGTCCTTTATTACCTAATAAAAGACATCAGACTCTTCTTCAACCCAATATTGTCTTAAGAAGTCCACCTTTGCCATTCCTTCTATATAACCACCCACTCTCATTCATTTCTCTTACTCTGAGGGAAACAGACCCACACTGTCTCTAAAGGAAAGCAGAAATTATTTCTCAGACTCTTTATACTCCCTCACTACCTTGTTGTGTAAATATATAAATGTTTTCAGTGGCACAGTACTGGTTGTATTTCAGGTGGCAGGACTTCATGCCATCATAGCATAATCCAAGATGGTATCTTCTACATTTATAGCATGATCTTGCAATCTCTGCCAGACACAGAAACAGATGTTTAGAGGATAAGTCTGAGAATGGCTCCCCTGGGATCTGGAAACTTCTCTACAGGACCTTGCTATTGTCTAGTGAATTTTAAGCTTTCCTGGGCCAGCGACTTTTTGAGTGATCTGGTGGAAGGTGGGCTGTATGTGCATAAATCAATTATTGCATAGCATTTCAGGAAGTTTCCCAAGTTTTTATAAAATTTATCCATGAACCTGAATAATGAATGCCTTATCTAGCCTGAATTTGCTGAGTCATGGGGGAAAGAGAGCAAAGAGGAGGAGTTTAGCCTCCTTACTCCCAGAAATGCACTGGGCTAGACAAGGAGAAGATAAAACTTATGGTATTCTAATGTAAAAATGAATTATAGCTCACTCTGAATGTGGAGAGGAGGTTTATATCTAAATATGCCACAAATTACCCATATAGTGAGGACTTTTAACCAGCCATGGTTGTACCTTTTTTTGAGTCTTGCAGTTTGCCTGTGGAGAGAAGAAAATTATTCCTTGTCATAATCTTAAATTCATCTACCACAGACTCAAGCACTAATTTTGGAAAATTTCCCTCCTGCAGCACCCAACTGTCTCTTAACCATACACTAAATGCCCCTCTGTCTTCAGGACTTACCCTCAGATGGGCAGAGAAGAGTAAAGATGACCAGTAGGAACAGAACAAGCATTCTGAGACCTTTGTCCTATGAAAGATGCTGGATATTCTCCTGTGATCTATCCTTGGGCTATTTATCTGAGTCATGTAATCATAAAATTTCAGGGACAGACCATATCTCAATGTCTCCAAGGCAAGACGATACCCTTGCACCACTCCCAAGAGGGTGCTGACTCTGATTTATTACAGATATTTACTCCAGTAACTGGAGTCTGACTACACCTGACATCTATTTTTAAATTTTCCTCACTGATAAGTCAAAATTTCTCTCCCTATAATCTCTTTCTGTTGTTGTATAGTCAAGGCTTGTGTCACAGAAAGAAAGTCAAATTTCTCTTCTACGGTTTACCCTTTCAAATATTTCATGACAAGAGGTAGACAACTCAGTTCCTTTTAGCTTTCTTAAACAACCTATTCACTCTCCTCTGAATGACTTCAGATTTGTATGTGCCTCCCTTAGAAGTCCGAAGAAACAGACGTAGTCTGTTCTGATATATACAAGGTTGTTATGTGTCAAAGCTGACTAAAAACTAACAAAAACAACAACATACAAGGAACATTCAAATTGGTCTATCTGACCACGAGAACAGAGATGGTTGCACAGGACTTTGAAGACTAGCAAAGTGTTAGCTAGAAGAATGAAGTGGCACAGTACTGGTTGTATTTCAGGTGGCAGAATACCCAAAGAGACAGAAAACGCCTCCACACAAAGGTGCCAAACAACTCAACAGAGTGTCAGGAGGTTACCATTGTTTTTTATTGTATAGGCATAGGTGAACAAGATCAGGCATAGATTTATGCCTCTTGTTAGAGGTGATGGCATATGGGTAAAGAGGATTCAAAATGATGCTTGTTTCAAATGTGTCTTGTCAAAAGTAAGTAGTATTAAGTTTCTTGTTGACTGTTGAGCAGTTGTAAAACATCAGTGAAAAAAACGGACATTTTCTCAAGTCTTGGGAAAGATAGTAATGTGTCCATTGTTCTGTACCAATGCAGACATCTAGAAAAGATATTTCCCTTTATTTAAATTTAATTTTGTCACACACGTGGGCTCATGTCTGACTTGTGCTGCTTGCTAACTACATGACTTTGGATGAATTAATGTGCTAAGAATAATTTTGGACGTTTTGTAGGGTTGTTATTGAGATTATATTAGGTAACGTTTTAGAAAGAAAGAACCTCATTTTATTAATGCCCTAGAAAATGTCAAGTACTAACTCCTATGCAATGTTGGCAGTTTAAGGATCAGCCTTGACCCTCTAGCTAGGGTAGGTGTCAAAAACTTCATCCAGTTGCAGAGTATACCCTTTGGTTGGTTGATGATGCATGGATGGGATTGTAACCATGGCAATGAAACAATATATGATAGGATGAATGTAAAGATAATGTTCTCCCATGTTAACTATCACATAATTCACAATAAAACATTAGAAAAACAACAACAACAATTAGATATCATCTCACATCAGCAATAATAGCAAAGTTCAAAACAGTAGAGAACAATAAATGCTGGTGAGGATGTGGAGAGACTGGGACCCTCCTACATTGCTAGTAGGATTTCAAAATAGTCCAACCACTCTAGAAAACAGTATGGTGTGTCCTCAGAAAGCTGGAAATAGAAATGCCATATGACCCAGAAATTCCTCTACTTGGTATATATCTACAAGAAATACAAGCCATAACATGAGTAGATATATGCTGTGCATAAGTTTGCTATGGATCGGTACCAACTCAATAGCACTTAACAACAACAACAACATGTTCATAGCAGCTCTATTCACAATAGCAAAAAGATGCCCATCAATGGAAGAATAGATGAACAAACTTTGGCACAACCACACAATGGAATATTATGCTACCTGAAGAATAACAAGGAAGCTGTAAGCCACCACATATCATGGATGAACCTTCAGGACATTACGCTGAGTGAAATTAGTCACAAAAGGAGAAATACTGCATAAGACCATTATTGTAAAAGCTTAAGAAAAAATACCCACACTAAAAGGGAAAAAAATATATTTGCTGGTTACTAGGGGTGATCTCTGGCTGCATAGTGGTTACAAATTGGGCTGTGAACCCCAAGGTCAGCAGTTCGAAACTACCAGCTGCTCCACGGATGAAAGATGAGGCTTTCTGCTCCCGTAAAGATTTACAGCCTCAGAAACCCTGTTCAGGGTCGCTATGGGTCGGAACTGACTCGACGGCACTTAACAACAACAACAGGGGTGCGGGGGGTGAGGGTAGGGAGAGGAAAGTGGAGCACAGGGTAGGGAATATACACAGGATAGTTCAGGTGTTGTGGGGGGAGTACACAAGAAGGGGGAGAGGAATGGAAGAACAAGGTAGATAAGAGAACATTTAGGCAGGTTTGCATGGGCTAAATGGTACAGAGGTAAATAGTGATGTATCTCAACCTTGGAACAACAGGACTCTGTGATACAGGGATTGAGGCATAGTCTGAACGGGCAAAAGAAGGGAAATAATGTTAATATGCTTGACTGTCTTATGAATCTTGGTTTCCCTTGCCTACTATTGTAAATAGACACTTAAGGGGAAGAGAAAAGAATAGCCAAAAACATGACTATAGAAAGCTTGTAAGCCTGTCTTTAACCTATAACTGATTGGAATACCTAAAAGGGGTGCTGTAACTTGCCCAGTGAAAGAGGCTTCCTTAGGTGGAATCCTGATCCCCATCCAGAATCTTCTGAGGTGGGAAATTTTCACTTGAAAAGACAAGCAGACCAACCTGGAGCAACTAGAGGAGCAGAAGATACTTGAAATAAAGACCAGCAGGAAAAATAAAAAGCAAAAACAGCAGTCTGATTGACTACCACAAGAACAAGCAAGTTGTTCACCGGGCAGCCATCAAGGCAAGTAATCAAGTCCCCTCAGGGCAAACCCCCTTCCAAGACTGAAACTCAAAAGGACTACAAAAGCAGGCATATAATCTTGCTGGCAACCACGTTGGTCTACCGATGAGGAGAAGTGGGGGGAAAGCAGCAATGAAGATGTGGACTGAGTCCAACCATGTTACATAGACTTGCATAGACCTGGAATATGGTAAGACCTGTTGTGCCAGAGGTATGGTGAGACCTGGGGACTCCTGAGCCTATAGATAAGGACATAGCCACAGAAGGCTAGAGTGGAGATTGAAGCATCCAGTTGGTATGAAGTGACGTCAAGAACGCCCAAACTTGCAGATACTACACATTTGACCTAGCTTCAATGGCTGGATGATCAGAACTTGACTAGAGGAAGAAAGAAGAGAAAAAAATGTGTAATCCACTACAATTTGATGAACATGACCTATATGGATGTAGTAGCTTAAAAGAGGGAAAGAATCTTCACAGCAAGGTTCATTCCCACCACCTCTGTACACAGGGTTGATAGGGATGGGTAACTTAGACACTGGCTACCTAAAAGGGAGGGGGTGATACAAAGGCACAAAGTGACTGGCTTACAAGTTTTCAAGAGGGAGCTTAGTTTCAGAGGATGTGGGGGAAGGTAGAATCTCCACTGAGTGGTTTTCAACCTGTCTAGACAGGGCTGGTGAAAGGAGATGGGGATAAGACTCTTGTGGTTCAATAGTGAGTAATTGTTATCAGGACTGATTGCGATTTCTGCAAATGTAAAGGTAGATGTTTTGTAGCAAAAGGAAGAGAGTGGTTGATCTTGCAGTCCAGGAGCGTGGACCCTGGAACCATGAAGAGAGAAGAGCAGAAGCAGAGTGTGGGACCCTATTCAGAGAAGCAGCCATGACAGAGATGGAAGCAGAGACGATGATGTGGAGAGATGGAATGGATAGAGACTCTAGACTCATGGAGAGAGAGGGACTGTGTGCTGGCATCCAGGGTGCAGGCTTGCAGGGTATTCCCTTTCGTTGAAAACAGAGGGAATAGAAGCAAATGCGGTTGAATGATGATGCATGGAAGAATTGTAATCATTGTAATGAAACGAAACACAATAGGATGAATGTAAAGCTGATGTTCTCCCATGTAAACTAATACTCAATTCACAATAAAAATTTAATCAAAAAAAAAACAAAAAAAAAACACAAAAACTTCAGCCTGAAGAAACTACATATCGAGAAGGTCAAGAGAAGCAGTGGGATAGTAGCCCCAGCTATAGATTTGTTATGCAAGGAATAAAACTCTGGCAGTAGCAATGTTATCAGGCATGTCCTGTGAAGTGTTAACTTTCACAGATCTTAGATTTTATGTGTGTGTTGGAGTGAGTAGGAAGATCAAGAGTCACTTCTGAAAGAATGGCCTTTGAAGTCAAGGGACCAAGTTCAGAACACACAGCCTAGTGTTCCTTGGATGGGTGAGCAGCTAGGGCATTAGTTTAGTGCTTGTTCACTGTTCACTGAGATTGAATGAGATTTGGGCTCACTCTCACAGATTCAGATATAGTCTATATTCTGATGACTTCCAATTTTATACCACTATCTCAGATTTCTATTCTGAGTTCTAGACCCATATCTATAAATACCCATTCAATTTAGAAAATTCATAGATACTATATCTTGTAATATCTCAAAATGAAATTATAATATTCCTGATTTACCAACGATCCTATTTCAGTATTTAACTTAATAAATTTGGGACCCACACTTTATAGTGTCCATTCTACTAACATGGGTGTTTTGTTTTGTTTTTGATTTCCCATCTTCCCTGCCACCTAATTAATCCAATATGTTATCATCTCATCTGGACCAAATCAAACCCTTATTTTTTGACCTTCCTTCTTCTACTATTTCTTTTTATGGTAAACTCTCCATAAAGTAGTCAGATACCACTTCCATAATGTAAGTTGGAGATATCACACCCCTTCTAAAACCCTTGCAATGGCTTTCCAGCATACTTAGAAGAAAATTTTGCCATGGTCTACAAGGTCTTTCCCAATGCAATATATCATTTGATTTCTTGGCTGCTGTTTCTATGAATGTTGACTGTGGATCCAAACGAAATGAAGTCTTTGACCACTTCAACCTTTTCTCCATTTATCATGAAG